CACAAAGATGCTAAATAACTTCAGACCTCACTCACAAGCCTTCTCTATGCTCTATTGCACTCCATGGTTGTAAGCAAATCTCAGCGATTAAGCATAGCCACTACAGGATTCATGTGTAAATTGTAACATGGCTCTGTACATAATGTGTACAAATATGTGCCTATATATTTAACACATATTTGACCAAGTAACAGGCATCAAGGAGCTTTACAAGTTTACAAAACCACATTGAAGTGACACTTTTCAGTGCGTTGAGGAATAGCAGTGCGTGCGTGCAGTGATCCCCAAATTTTTCAACTTCAAACATGGTCTTAAAGTATTTATACCCAGTGAATCCTAAGAGACGAAAATTGCCAGTTTTATTACACTGAGCATCAGCCTGTACTCAAAACAGATGTTGCACTGTAAAGTCATTTTAAAGTGGCCTTGAGCTTTTATTACAAAAACTTGATACAGTAATTTTTCTCTTACTGGTTTTTAACGTCTCTCCTGTTTGAGTTTTCTTAGCTCTTGTAGATTCATTGTTGTGTTCTGTCATGTGGTGCTATGTGTTTGGTTTCCTCTGCCTTCTTGGAACGGATGACTCACGCAAACGCCTGTTTCCTTTTTTGAATATGTAAATGCATGTTTGATGGCAGCCTACAGCAGACACACCCTGGATGGCTGGATGAGTTTTAGTGTTAGACCTGCCTGGCCTATTTCTGCTTTCCTTCATCCTCCACCACCTCTTATCCCTCTCTCAAGTGTGAAGCTTGAAGCAGCAGGCTGTGTGCTATGATAGCTGTAATTGGTCTAAAGATGGAAAGTTCACTTTCACTTTGTCACTGAACTAAGAAGCAATTTGTTTTCATTGAGGGTTTTTTTGTATTTAGTGAGGGGAGTTAAGAACAATATAACATCAAAGCACCATTTAACAGCCCAGAATAGGGGGTGTGGATGATAGCGACAGTAGAGAGACTGGTACTTTTTGTCCAAGCTGAAAAGCAGAGCTGTCTTTTGAGTTCATTTTAGGAGGAGCGGGGTGTCTGAGAATGGTTCCCCTCTTGGTACCCCCTCGTCTGTGGAAGCGAGCTTTGGATTCAGAGTTTTTTATTAGCCTCTGTGGCCTGATTTGTTTAAGGGGAGGCAAGGTGCCAAGATGTGGCTTGGCTCCTATTTTGCTCCAGTGTGAGAGCTGAGTTTGTCGGAGGGGGAACTGGGCAAAGCAAAACAAAAGCAGAGTCACCCAGAGTACACACACACACATTTATTCACAGTGTACTTTTGTATGTTCTTCACTCTGCTGTTATGTATGCTGGCTAGTGTGCACAGTTTCCCTTATTCACAGTCATTACAGAAGACAGACACATACAGAGAAAAAGCTTGTTATTGCCTAGAAAAAAGAAGGAGGCGAGAAGAGGGGAAAGAAAAACGCTCACAAAGAAACAACTCATGGATCTGTCTGAATTTGCTTACTGTATCTATCAGTCGCCTGAAGATGTTTCTTAAAGGCACAAATCGTTTTGGTTGGATATGAATGAGAGATGGAGAAATTTTGGTGTTTTACTGAATGAGGAAGTTTACAAAATAGGTTTAAATGCCAAGGAGACTGTAAATAGTAAAGAAAATAAGTTTAAAATATATAAATAAGAAACAGAATAAAATTAATCTAAACAATAAAAATGATACACTAATATAATGTATATAAACCTAAATAAAATACACAATTTAAATTAAGCTACACTGCAGAGTACATTAGAGCTAATCTGGTGGGTACTATAAAAATAAATGTACAATAAGGTGCACGTGAGGTTTGGGTATTAACCATTTGAGTGTATGATGAATGTAACGTCTAGGGAAGATCCCTCTTCTGGCACAGAGCACCGTCACTGTACAGTGTTTTTAGTGCTTTTTCAAAAGGCTGTGTTTACCTGCGGTGAGTATTTAAGGCTGCACCTTAGCGTCTACTCCTTTTTTTTTTTTGGAAGTTGGTTTAGTTTTTGAGAAACTTTTAAGTTGACTACAGGTTTTCTCAGTCTCAAGTAACTGGAAACGGACCTGGGACCCTAGCGAGGCCAAATTAGGCTGTGTTTAGATCAACATAAGCCCTCACGGAAAACACAATTCTCTTTATTTTAAATTGTGTCAGTCTACTGAAGCACTGTGGGGCCAACGCAGAAAGAAAAAGAAAGAAAAACCCACATTCGTTTGACAGAAATGTTGAACTTGGCTGAACTTTTTCTGCAACACAACCAGAACATAAATTTCATAGTTTAAAAGGCCAAGGCCTTCTGGCCTCAGTGTCAGACATTTTCAAAAGGCACAGAGCCGATTGACTGAGCACTAAGGCTGATCGACAACTGGACAAGTTGTGTGTATGTGGGCACATGTTCATTCTTAAAATAAGCTGTAAACCTCCTTTAATTCTCATGTTGTTCTATTAAATGCTCTGTTGATAAGGATAAAACTGTCTTCTCTGAACAGGGGTAAGAACCTTTGTGCACTTTGAAGGTCAAGAAGCACTGAACAGACTAATAAAAATAAACTTTTATTGAAATCATAAATCAAAACAATGAAAAATAATTAAGAGATCCAAGAACTTAAGAGATCTAAGATTTCAAAATAAGTGTACATGAAAATCTATGATCTATAATTTCCTGTCTGAACCAGAAGTCACTGCTCATTAAGACGTGTTTTTTAATTCATTTGTTATCACGTGTAAAGTCGCTATGGGAGGGTGTTACTGAGATAGAGGCTGTTGAGCTGAGGAGGTCGTTGAGAATCACTCATCTGAAACCAAATCCACACACAATAATTACACATCGGCACACAAAATAACACATGAAGTGAGTTCATGAGCCACGACAAATAAACAGACACCCTGCACATGTCCCGATCAGTCATGTAACATGTGTTACTGACAGGTAAAGTCAGCCGGACCTCTGCACAGGCTATGCACTGCTGTCATATCGGCCAATGTGCCACCAATAATACCAATGAATTCCAATTTTAAATGAGTTTCAAGGTGATATAAGGCAACTTTTAGAAACAAAGGATAAGCATGGATTCATCAAGAAGCTGACCACAGAATTAAAACAGCATCCCCGACAGTGTCAGGGTTGTCACTGAGGTAAGATCTGTGCCATTTATATCAGCTCCTCTCTACTGCTGATGTTGCACTGCATAGTTCATTGTTCTGTTGCCTTAACTGGAGGAAGATGCCGTAGTGTAAGATATTTATTTTCTTGCTCAAGTGCATTAAATAAACACAAAAACTTTCACACAGTGAAAGGTTGAAGCCTTTTTAGCTCTCTATGATGAGTAATTGAAGAGCATGAGGAGGTAAACAAACGTGTTAAGAGGAGGAGAGTGGACTGTAAAAAGGCCTCAGCAACTGAGAGCCTAACATTTCTCCACTGAGTCAACCTGTGCATCTTAAGCTCACTCACACTGCTTTTATATTCAAGGCTTTATGCCATATGAGCAGCGCCACATGCTGCTAACTAGCACTGGTTTTCATGGATGTGTCAAAGTGAGCACAAAGAGCAGCAATGATCACACTGAAGGCTCTCTTGTCTGCTCGTGCACGCCACAGAGCACTACTTTTTATTTGTCCCCAACTTTTGCACAAAATATGGGTTCAGTTGCTCCGTGTCACAGCCGAGCTATAAATTCTTCCTACTTAAGCCGTTGCACTCCTGCTCTATTTTTCTCCACTTTCAATTAATAAGAAACACATTGGTTGAAGGAGGGACTTTGTCGGTGTGTAAGAGTCCATATATCACCTAAACTAGAGCACCCCCGCACCTCCCACCCTGCCCTCCTGGGTGTCCCTTCCTCCTCCTCCTCACACAAACACACACACAGTGACAGCCTCCATCTGCTCCCAATCATGGGTGCAGCCAGTGGTCAGGTTGCTGACAGTGAATGGCACAAAGGCACATGTTAAAACACACATGCACAACATAGGCACACTTGGCATGAGGTCACCCATACATACACACACACACACACATTCAACCTGAACTTGCTTACTTTGTTGTAAACGAATGTTCCTGAATGACGCTTTCACACATCTGCTTTACAAAAAACAAAAAGTAAACCTACTTTCTGTCTGTCTGTCTCTCTCTCTCTCACACACACACACACACGCACTGAGGCTCAGTCACAGATGAACATGAGACATCCTGGCGGTGTGCTTCACTGATGACAGGGTGTCATGGAAACGCCCAGCGTTCTCCATGGTTACGCACTCTTTACCCCCATGGGATACTCTCTTATGATTGTTCAGACAGAACACTTGAGCTACTACAACTGTGTGTGGCCAAAACACACACACACACACACACACACACACACACACATGTTGTTTCTTATCAGGATCTAAATGGACACAAATTAGCCTATTATGTACTTTTGGGATTAGAGCAGTGATTCAGCGTAATAGTCTGTTTTCGTACTCTGGCTCCTTAAAGAGTCCATAAAGCATGGGAGATATTTGCCAATAAAGGCTTGATGTTTAAATCCAGCTAAATGGCTCTGGAGTGCACATTTAGTGGAAAGGATGTGGAAGCACTGTCTTTTACCTTTTATAGTTAGAACGACTGGCTAAATTGTGCATCATATGCTGTCGTCACTTTCTGGTTTCGATCGTTTGGCTTCCAGTGAAACTTGTCTCAACATCCCTTTTTATATTTGTGTGCGTGTGTGTGTGTGTGTGTGTGTGTGTGTGTGTGTGTGTGGTTGGACTGGCTGTGGAAGCAGTCTTTGTGTTAATGCTAATGCACAAGAGCCACAATATGTTTGCTCTGTCTGCGTGCACCTGAAATGAAGACAAAAGCACATGGCGAGGCACAGCTCTCACACTTCCTCCTGCTTATTGAGCTGTTTAATGCAGCTTCCTGTGCATGTGTCTTCAGGCCACTGATTAATAATGCTGCTCATTCATTAATATCACCATAATGAAGTGCACTGTGGAACATGAGTGTTAAACTTTTTTTTGTTTTGTTTTTTTTCTCTAGACTCCATTGACCAACTCATATAGGACCACACCCCCACAGTAAGGTGAAGGCGGGATCTGATCATCCATCATCTCTACGCCGTCACAAGGTGGGCTAACATCCCATGTGGTTGGCATGGTAACGGCCTGCTGGGTTTAGGTTGAGCAGTTTGCCAGAGACAGTTTCTTGTTGTTGCCACATTGTTGCAACATCCTCCTGACCTGAACTCAGAAAACGGTGTGTGTTTTCTGAAGCAAATGTTTTATGGGGGGAAGCATTTTGTGTTTGACATTTGGCTTTTGGAAGATGGTGGTGGTGGCATTAACAAGGGGAAAACAAAGAGGGTTGAGCAGATGATTTTCAGGCAGATGAGAAAATGAAGGGTGGGAAGACAGCAAGGAGACAGGAAGAGAAATCAAATTATTCTTTGTGCTCTATCTGCCACAGAGGCTGAAGAAAAGCATTAATCTTTTACCCCTGTGTGCAGATGACAACAGCACGCAAACACATACACAAATATGTACCCAGGCTTAACCACACCACCCTCTTCCTTTTATTCACGTGTGTTCTCACACTTGCTTCTGCAGAAGTGACACAATTGCACTGAGCTGGAGCGACTGTGTAAGTTTGGTAAGAGAGGGGAGGACGAAGAGTTCAGGTCCAGGTGATACTGGACATGAACAGGTCAACAGCTAGACAGAATGAAGATGAGGTGGGGCAGGTAGCACTGTAAAGAGATGGAAGGAATTGTTTCTGGTGTTCAGGGTTCCAAAAAGTAAAAATCCCATTCATGTGAGAAAGCTTAAAACTGTCCCGGTTAAATCATCAGTGCAAAAGTTGAGCAACTGCATTTGAAAATATCTGGTTGTTTAATAAAAAGTGAAAAAAGTACAGTGTGCACACTGTAAGATGTAATGAGGGTCATAGCATTTTAGTGGTCACTAATGGAGGTTTGAATTTGATGACTACACTTTGTAGCTGCTAACATTCTTTTTACTTTTGTGCTTTTGGTCTTTTGGTTGAATTCCACCCACGTGGTGCAGTGTTTTAATCCCAACATTTTGAATTAGATTCAGCTCAAATTCGTGCTTTTTACTAACTTCACCTCCATAGCCATTGGCAGCTTAGGCTCATGGGTATTGTAGTATGCAGACCATTCACTGGACTTAATTGATTAATAAATGAATCTATCAACAGAAAATCAATCAGCAATCAGTTCATCTTTTAAGTGATGCATTAATTAAAAAAAAGTCAAATATTTTTTTCCAGCTTCCAGATTTTTAGTCTTTTATGATATTATACTGAATATCTTTGCACTTCAATACAAACAATACAAACAGTCAGGAGGATGCATTTCTTTTTGTCCATTATTAAACCAGTGAAGGCTGTGCATAGCTTGTGAGAGTAGTCACAATGAGGCAGCTGTGGCTCTTGTCATGTCACTGGTGTGAGTTTACATGGCCAGATCAGGGCTGTGTGCCTCTGTTTTGTCAACAGAGTTTATGAAAGAGCCATTTGCAGGCGGGCAAGAGCAGGGCTGGTTGCATCACCCAGCCTAACCCTGATAACGCTGTCACCTTCCCTCTCCCTCCTGCTTTCCCTTCCTATCTGGTCCTTCATTTTGTTGCCAGCAACCTGCACCTTGCCCAGACCATTGTGCCTTCATGGTCTTATCCTCTCCAACACAAGAAAGATTGAAAACACAGGAGCTTGTCAAACAAACACGCAGGTAGTTTGATGGCAGCCAGTGCTACAGTTCTGCCATCTCAGCATTTGAGAGAGAGAGAGATTGAATTCCTTTGCTGTCATTGTACAGTACAGTACAACAAGATTCAATGTGCAACTCCCTCCATCAATGCCATCTATAAAAATGCAAATAAAACATAAACAAAAATTAAGAGATGCAAATAAACTATGCAAAAACATTATAAAACAAATAAAAATGTACATATCTTGCAAATATCTCACATGTGCAATTGGCTCAGGCTGTGCAACATTATTCTGGTGCAAAGTGTGCAGCGAAGCAGTTACACCCGAAACTGCAACAGTATTTTTTTAACAAGGGGTACTCGGTGGACTGATTTATGGCATGTATGGTTCTTGGGATAAAACTATCTGGGAGAAGGTCAAACAAATCATGGCATGGGTGTGTAGGATCCATAGAGATGAACATACCTGCCCAGCCACTGATTTACACAAACAGCAAACACAATTTTTTAGCGTTTCATGCAAATTTACAAAACCTTCTGTGTTATCGTTAAAGCTCTCCTGTACACAACAAACCATAAGAGATTCTGTTTGATCCTGAACGAAGCTGTAACACTGACTAAATCCACTCTGCAGAATCACTGCTCATGGCATTTAGACAGGAGTACACTGGCCTTCACTGGAAAAAAAGATCTGAGATGAATTTTAATAACAAATACTAATCTTTAAACTCGAGGATTTTTCTTTGTAAAAATGATAAATCAGATCATTGTATTGTATTTATTTGTTAAGATTATATTAATAAGTAATGTTGGCACCAGAGACAGTATCCAGTGTTAAATTCTAAGTGTATGGGGTAGACACTGTATTCAATACTAACCTTCGTCATGGTATGTGTGTGTGTATGTGTGTGTACAGACTACGATACAGAATAAAGCGAGGTCTATGCTGAATTTGTTCTTGCTCGTTTTTCCTGTGCACTTGTCATCTGCCCTCAGTAACTCCTCCTAACACATTCTTGTTTGTTGCATTGTTTTTTCCCCCCTGTGCTGTGACTCACTGTGTCGTGGGAGGTCTGTCCTCCACTTTTTGTTTTTGTCTTCCTAAACCCAGATTTTTCTTTCAGTTTCAAGTAGCTCTTCAGCCATTTTAAGTCTTCCCTGCAGGAGTCTGTGAGTTTAACACTCCTGTGTTATTGAAGCACCGCATGTTTTTTAGCAACAAAAAACACGCTGAGGAAAAAGTGAAAAATTCAGTGATGTCTGAATGAAGACATCTATGTCTAAATCAGAAGAAGCATCACTTAAACAGATAGCTGAAGCCTGCATTATTAAATATTACATGTTTGGAAAGGGATTTTTAGATATACATACATTAGATATGCATAATATTTCTTGAATGCAGGTTGAAACCTTGGTCTGACTTAGGGGCTTGCAGCACCATTAACATCTACAGCTAATTCCAGAGAAACATGGCCTTTAGTTTTTGAGCTACATTATCAAATTATCATGTCTGTGGGACTGTCCTGTAGCTTGTAAACCTAACAGGGATTAAATCGCATGCTTTCTAGTTTATGGCATCAGCCATTTCCTCTGGTTTTGTCTTGAAACTGTCAGGTCGGTGGTTCCTGGTGATCAGTGCTCCCACTGGGCTTCAGGCTCCAGGGTCACTGGCAGATCCCAGGAGTTTAGTATCACCCCAGTTGATGCCACAGCAGTGTTGACCTGAGAGATCCTCCTTTCACATCAATGTAATGACCCAGAAAATATGTGGGTCATGTGTCAGCATGAAGGTGGTGACACTTTGAAATTGTTCAGGTCAAGCTCAGGGTTGAGAACCAGTTCAGACTTTATCCTGTTTAGTATGAAAGTTCAGTGCTGCCTACCTACATAGTTGCACTCACCTGTACCTGTCAGCAGAAGAATAGAAAACTCAAGACAGTTAATTCAGCCGCAGGAGCTTAACTTTTTCTCCTGCTCTGTCTCTGGCCAATCCACAAGCACCTATTGCTGATTGTCAGCTTCCCACTGTTGCTTCTGATTAATGCCTTTGAGTCATCTTCATACGATTTACTCTAAAGACTTCCATGAACGTGCAGCTTATCTGAAGAAAATGCAGAAGCCATTTGACTTTTGGGAAATAGATTTGCTCCTGATAACCTCAGGTCAAGCTCTCAGGTCATCAATGTCGCCTTGCTCTGCTACTTTCTAATTTATCCTTCTCTTTCCATGACATGGAAGAAATAGCATGGTATAATCATACAACAAATACTTCAAACTGAGCTGAGTAATTCTAAGTGTCGAAAAATGGGGCATGAGAATCAAAATTCATTATGTGTTGCTGCATTATGATGAGGGAGAAGGAAGCAGTCTGTATGAGGTCCAGTCACATTGGAAGGCAAGTGTTCATAGGTGTTTTCCAGCAGCCACATTTAAATGTGGGCTGAAACACCAGCCATTGTAAAGTGAGTTTCCATCCACCTGTTCATGCACCTTCTCGATGTATACATTTGTGTTTACATTTGGTTGAGGTGGAAAAGTTGACAAAATACAAAACAGTGAGATGGAAACAGATGCTGTACATGAAGCATTAAATGTCCACTGAAACTTCTGCTCCACTGGATTGACAAAGCACTGCTAGTGACAAAAACATCCGGTCTGTGTGGAGCCATGATATCTTCCTCAAATGAACACATGAAACAAACACAAATGTCTGTTTCCTACATTGTTTTCATTCAGGTTTCACTGAGGTTTTATGAAGTGTCCTTTTGTTCTGCAGTGGTTTTAATGGCACTCAACTGGAGGTTTAGCACCACCAGCTGTTTATCTTGATGAACCAACTTCTAATATTTGCATGACAGTAGTGGAAGGAAACATGCACTGATTCGTATTGTCTTTTGCTGATGCTTGTCAAAGTTCAGTTAAACTATTCGCTACATTTAGATGGAAACCCACTTAAACAGATGAGCAGGGTAATTATTTAAATATGAGAATAATGGCAGAGTTTAGGACTGTCTGTTGTAGAAAGTTATACAAATGTTGGATGCAGCCTCCCCATGCTGCGTTTATGAAGAGTCTAGTATATGGTCAAATCTAGCTGTATACCAAAACATTTGTTATAAAATGCTCAATTCCTCTTACTGTATTTATTTATGTCTAAATACAATATATTTGCTATTCTCATTAATTCATTTTCCTCCTCTTCATGTTTTCCTTCTGCCGATTGGTTTTATCATTGTTGTCTCATCCCTGACATACAAAGTTTGCACCTCAGACTTTTAATTTTCAGTTTTCTTAAGCTCTAATTCCACATGCGCATTAGCCCAGGTGCACAAAGACTTTCTTACTGTCATTACTGCATTCGGCTCTGCACTTATGCTCTCACATCTACTGTGTCTCCCTTTCTCCTTTAAATCATCATCTTCATGCCCATCTTGCTGCCCTCAATAGTGCCATCACCCTCTCACATTTCCTTCTTTACATGTCCCATTCTCGCTGCCCCCTGCTGCTGTATTGTACTCACCAATGCCCCACTGCCTTTCTGCCACCAGGCCCCAATGTCTGTGGCGTGTAATTGACTTTCTCCCTACACTGGAAAGCGGGCGGCCCGCGCCAGGCTAGAGGTGACCCATTTCCCTGGGGCATTCAGCAGCCTCCTAATCAGCCATTCTCTGAGGCTGCCTCATTCACGCCACAATTAGAGCATCTCCCCCTTTGAGGACTCAATAGGTAGGCGGGCACCGGGCTCGATCTGCGAAGGACCAGAAACGGAGTTTCACTCACATTGCTTTGGCTCTTTGAGTTCTGAAACCTCAGACTTTCTACCTCCCCTCTGTCTGATTTTTGCCTCCTCTGCTCCTCTTCAGTTCCCTTGTGGTAGATTTCATCAGACAACAGCAAACGGGGGTTTTGTCTAACAATGAGTACCAGACGAGTGAGGGGGTGGCAGGTAGATGGGCACACAGGGAGGCAGACAGGAGGATAGGCAAGGAGAAACGGAAGTAGGCAAGCAGACAAAGGCAACAAGACAGTAAGTCAGACAGAAAAGACAGTCAGATGGGAAGGACTCAAGGGAGGGATTAAAAGAGAAATTTGAAAGAAACTCAAAGCAGGAGGGATTGAGCGAGAGGATCGACTCATCTTCAGAACATCTTTTGCTTTAGGAGGAAGATTCATGTTATTCCCCATTGTTGTGTTGCAAGGGAATACACTTGTGTTTCACCTGGTCTTAAAGACATGCTTGAAAGCAGTCCCCATATTGATTCAGTCTTAATAAGATTGTGTGTTTACTGCTTGTTTCAGCCAGATATGATCATGGTGGGAGGCAGAGCACATGACTGAACATTGGAACATTTTCTGTTGAAAAAAAAAAATGACCACAATCCATAGACTGCCCTGATCCCACAAGACCGATCCTGAGATGATGGTGCATGATGATTAAATAACAGGCTGACGACTCTCCCCTGCCGTTGGCCTGATTTGCTATGCAGCAGAGGCAGTGCTCTGGTCAGAGGATAACCATGTAATCAATGGAATGAAAAAGCTGCTCTGGCTGTGAAGGTTAAGAGGGGTACTGGAGGCTTTCAGCCCACTTTGTGCACCACAGATGCATTCAAAACACACACCAGATCGTCTGGATGTTACATCTCCTCCTCTAATTCCTCCTCCTCTCACCTGTTCCCTTTCCCTCTTGCCTTTCTTTGACATGCCTTTATCTCTCTTTCTCTCGACTCGCTCCCTCCCACTGCCTCCGCCTCTTTTCGCTCTGATTCCCCCTATTTTTCTTCCTCTGCATTTTCTGTCTTCTACTATATTTGTGCTCTCTCTCCCCTTCATTTACTTTCCTCTCCTCCCTCCCTCCCACCTACCTTTCCCCAGTGTGAGCCTCTGTCACTGTTACAAAGAAAGTGACCAATCAGAGCTCACTTCACAGCACCCTCTCCCTCCCTCCTGTATTTCTTCCGCTCCTTCCCTCCATCCCCTTCCTTTCCTCCTCCCCTTCCTCTCTGCCTCCTTTCGTCCCATCTGCCTCGCTTCTCCATAACCATTATCAGCTCACTTCCTGAAGACAAAAAGTGATGCATTATGGGAGACAGACGGCTGTCTAACAGGGTTGTCAGGAGAGACGCTGCTAATCCTGTGTGTGTGTGGATGCACCATATGAGCTGATGAACTCGTACATGCACATGCCCACACACACAAACAAACACAGCCTCACATGCTTACTCTCATTTTCTCCAAAGAGGAAGAGGAGGAGGAGGCAGATGAGACATGTTTATGTTTGTCAGCCTCTGTCTAGAGAATACGATTTGCATGATGTAAGCATATTTCATCCTGCTGTGTGCTGTTTTGCACTTTGTCCACTTTACAAACCGGCTCTGGATTGTTTATTTTTACTGAGGGAGAAGTCCCACATCTTCTTCCCTTCACAATTACCTATATATTATCTGCTTGTGTTATTTACGCCTGTATGTGTATGTGTGTGTGTGTGTGTGCTCCTTCCTCTCAGGTGCTGATATGTGTACACGATGAGTGGACTGGGGGAGAACTCCATGGAGCCTCTGAGCTCAGAAAATCGTAAACGCAAGCTCTCCACTTGCGACACGCCTGGTCTGGGGTGAGTGTGTCTCATCAGCTCAAGAGAGAGGAAATGCAGGAAAGTGGGCTACTGGGTCAGTGGTTTCTGTAGTCCAGGCCATGTGGCTCTTTTTGTTGATACTTATTATGATCAGTGTAGTAAAAAAATATGCACACACTGACTCCAAACTACAAATGTTCATCATTAGCAGCAGTTCAATCCCAGTCATATATTCATCACGTTTATAAAGTGGGATAGTAAATATTATAAATAACATAAACAGGCTCACACTATGCAAAAGAGCATAGTCATAATGTACAATTGGTCAAAAGCAAATACACAAATACATTCGCTTTCATGCTGAGAGATAGATAAGAATATTGATGCCACTCTCATGTCTGTACACAGCCAGCAGCTGTTTAGTTTAGGTTACTTTAGCAGGCTCTGTTCTAGCATCACCTCTGGCCCACAAATGAATTAAAACTTTAGATTTTGTTTGTTGGACTTACACAATCCAAAGTGGAAAATTGACAAGTTGGACTGTTTCTTGGTGCATCAGGTGCAGTGACTTCCTAGAGTCCTGCCCCCGTGAGTATGCCAGGCAACCAGCAAAGACTTAGTCAAGACACTGCACCTAGCCAAGAAATACTTATGCACCCTGGCAAAAAGCACGACTGCCCAGACTAACTGTTTCCCTCTACTTCCAGCCTATAAACTAAGCTAAGCTATTTATCTCCTGGCTGTAGCTTCATATTTCATGTACAGACTTGAGATTAGTATCAGTCTTCTCAAATATCTCTCAGCAAGAAAGCAAATATGTGCATTTACTTAAACGGCTCAACTATTCCTTTAAAAGCCCCATTCAGATATGCGCTGCTTTCCATTACCGCGACGGCATCTGAACATGTCGGCTTCATGACTGAATGAGCACTGTGGTCACTTGTCAGTAACAGTCACAGCAGTATTCTTACTAGACTGAATGTAGCAGCATTTATGTTTTAGTTTCAACACAACATGAGTCTGAACTGCAGGCACATTAACAAATAGGCACACACGAGATTATGCCAGGCTCACAAATATCTGGCAATTATCTCATGTGAACTTTAACATAAAAGTGACCTATGTCTGAATGGCAGGAAGTCATCACTTCAACAGCATGACAAAGCATGTTACATACTCCATGTCTGAAAAAGGTTTGAGATGCACAGTACTGCAAGCTTGTTTCACTTCTCAGCAAATGACTCTAAGCATTAAAAAGTACAGTCCTGCAGTCACAATAAAGCCACTGATGATGTTTCTGAATGGTGTTTGTGGTGGGCAAACTCTTAGAAGTCATTGTTCCAAAAGAGCCAATCGGTTTCCACGGTTTTTCAAACTACTTTCTATCTGCTTTGCAGCCACTCTACATTGCTTTCCAATATAAACACAGCACTGACAATCAGAGAAAAGTGGAGCATGATTAGCTTAGCTTTAATCTCTGCCCCATGCAGGTGTGAGAGGAAGAGACGGGAGCAGGAGAGCAAATACATAGAGGAGCTGGCGGAGTTGATCTCCGCCAACCTCAGTGACATCGACAGCTTCAACGTCAAACCAGACAAATGTGCCATTCTCAAAGAGACAGTGCGCCAGATCCGCCAGATCAAAGAGCAGGGTGAGTGGACACAGTCGTCTGAAATCCTGGAGCCAGACAGGTGCACTGTAAGGCAGGTGGACTGCTGAGAAGTGTGTGTAGGAGACGTTGGGTAAGGTGTGAAGGAGAGAGAGAGGAGAGATAGCTGAGGGTTAGCAGACCCATGCACACACACACACACACACACACACACACACACACACACACACACACACACACACGTGCCTCCTCAGAGCCCAGGTGCAAGGACGAATCAGTCATTCATCTCTCACAAATTTCACAGCCGCAACTGTTTATGTTTGGGAGGAAACATTGGCAATGCTTTGTGAACCTGTCATTCGTGTGTGTGTGTGTGTGTGTGTGTGTGTGTGTGTGTGTGTGTGTGTGTGTGTGTGTGTGTGTGTGTGTATTATGGGCATGCACAGCTGTGTGCTGGCCTCACCGGGGGCTGTTTAATTGGACGTTTGCAGGTAATCACATGCCCGTTCATTCCGCTGAACTGCCAAATTATTAGTTCTGTTACAGCTGCTGTTGTCATCGCTGTCTGCATTATGCAACGGTAATTTCTGCAGCAAACACTCTAAAAAGCTGCAGGCTGAGACATTTACTATGCAAAATGCACCATTAGTACAGAAGAGACCTTTTTAACTCTTCCATGCAGACCTGTGCCAGGTTAAAATTTTCCTATTTAAGGTGAGTTTATGAAGATCAAGGGGAGGATCGGTGGTGAATTTTGTTCTTGTGTTTGTGCTCAGCTCAGTTAGTGTCTGTCACCTCAACAGGAAGGGGAAGAGGCTACAGCTGGCCCTGACTCGCTGCTGACAGGTTGCCATAGTTACAGGAAGTGAAGACAGAAATGACACAGGGGTTTAGACTGTTCTCCCACTTTCTACCTCTTCTGACTTTCACTTGCTCTTTCTGCTAGTCTTCATTTTTGATCTTTTCTCGATCAGTCATTCCTGTTTTTCATTACACTTTAGATTTAATGAACGATGCTCTTGTATTTTCCTAATCTTCTGCATTTCCCCTTCATGTCTCACCTGTATTTCAGCACACTGAGCTGCAGCATCTTTAAGTTTGCTCCCAGCGTCTTAAGATATTGAGCGAACTGAAGGAGTGCAGCCTCTCTCTTTTTCTCTCGCACACTCTGTGTATGTCTAGTTCTCCTTTCTCATCCTCTCTCTCTCTTTCAGTCCTTCTCTACCTACCTCTAACTTCACAGTGCCTGGCTGTAGGCAGAAATAGCTTTTTTCCCTTTGTGTTGGTATCCGAGCCCCTTGGGAGCTAATCAGATAGAATGATTCCTGTAGCCGAGCAGCCCCCGCCTCTTTCTCAGACCAAGCCCTGCATTAATACAACAACCTAAACACCAGCATCATCTCTGTTCACATCGCTCTGTTTCAACCCCAGTCCTTCCTCTCTCTCTCTGTCTTTTTCTCTCTCACACTCAGCCCTTCCATTAATTCAGGTGCCTTAGCTCCTGCCCCTGCACCATTACAGCTTCCAGAGCCTCTCTAGCTCTCTCCTGCACTCCCTCTCTCTCTCAGTCCCAGCCTACCAGACAGTCCCTCAGAGTCTGACACTGAATATAAAGCATGAGGACGCCTGCTACCTGCTCCACATACACCCAGTCCTCTATTCCTCCTGATGGGCTCCTCAGAGAAACCTTCCTCCTTCTGTTTCCCTCTCACCTGAAGTTTAAATCCAAAAAAAGTGAAGATTGAGAAACGCTGCCCCCTGCTGGCGCAGTTAGAGTAGTGAATGTCTGGCCGTTTCCATTAGTTTCAGGTATGGTTGTTCTCACCTTGCATGTCTCCTTTACTGTTTTTTTTCTTATTCTTCTTCTTTGTTGACAGCTGCGCTTGAAATGGCATTTTTTTTCTTTTGTAATGGATTTTTTTTTTTTTTTGCTCTCTTTGCCCTCGTTTTCCTACACTACAGGAAAAGCTTCATCCAATGATGATGACGTTCAGAAGTCAGACGTGTCCTCAACAGGTCAGGGGGTCATTGACAAGGACCACCTGGGGCCACTCCTGCTGCAGGTGAGTCCAGCTGTCCTCCCCACTTAATCAAATGGTACTTTTACAAGTTTTGATTGGCCACCTGGTCGGTGATGGCTGTATCACTGTGCTCCTCTCAGGCTCTGGACGGCTTCCTCTTTGTGGTGAATCGGGAGGGCAGCATCGTGTTTGTGTCGGACAACGTGACGCAGTACCTGCAGTACAAACAGGAAGAGCTCATCAGCACCAGTGTGTACAACATTCTCCATGAGGATGACAGGGAGGAGTTCCACAAGAATCTGCCCAAGACCAACAGTGAGAAACCATCACACACACACATCAACACAGTAATAGAGAAGCTTCACATCTGCTCAGAAGTAAACCCTGCTTGACATCTTCCACAGGGCCGAGGTATAAAACAAACTTTGAGAGGTTACAGCAACTCTGTGCGAACGTCAGCGTAAACTCACTCAGTTATTTATTCATGCTCCTTCGTTCCTAACTCCTTCTCATTATAATGAGGAGCTCTTGGGAAGCCTGTTCATGTGCATGAGAGCTTTTTGGAAAGACACACACACACACATGCACCTGACAAAATGCACACGTGCACAGAAGCACCCACCCACTCAGTGCTAAGCAGGCAGAGCGTAGCGCAGCTGTCAGTCACACTCAGTGGTCCAGACAGTGTAAAACAGGCCTGAGCTCTATTCAGATCCCATGGCAGCCATCTGGAAACTACTTACTGCTGAATAATGCACCTCCGCACTTTCCTCTACTTAATTCACTGTGTTTGCATGTGTATGTCTTATAATGTATATTTACATTTCTATGTCAGTAATGGGATTGCGTTTAATGAAGGTGCAGTGTGTGTGTAAGCCCACAGGCATGTGCACAGTACACTATTTATAAAGCTGATTAATTACGGATATCTGTGCTCAACTGATCCCGCTACTCGATTAACTCTGCAGCAATATTCCTAAGCAGCACCGGCTGCGACATGTCATTGACACATTCTCTCACTTATTCCTCCTTTTACCCCTGCACACTCCTTTATTCATTCACTGTCATTATCTTTTAACCCTCCTGTTATGTTGCGGGTCAAATTGACCCACGAACATAACTGCTGAGCAGGCATCACCTGCGAAATGAACATAACAGGAGGGAACCCTCCTGTTATGTTCATTTTTATCTACTTTTCCTCCACGTCCCTTGTGCTCTTCTCCACTCAGCCTCATTCATTCTTAATATGGCTGCCTATGAAGATGACTATTTGTGGTTTTCTGTTTCTCAGCTTGCTTCTGTCTGCTCTCCCACCCCTCATTGTGTCTCGCTCTGCTGCTCTCCCCCCTTCATTATGTTGTGGACCCATGAATGAAATACGTTCACTCTGTACATTCCTGTGGGATGACCGCTGACTACACCAGCTACACACACAAGCACCCAATACACACTTAGTTACAAAACAACCACAGACTCCTGCACAAAAAACGGAGTTATGTTTGTTGTGTGTGTGTGTGTGTGTGTGTGTGTTTTGTGACCCCCTCTGTCATGCCTTGCTGTCACCTAATTGTGTCTGAGGGGAAATGTCGGCCCCAGTGACTGCCCTGTATTTTCTCTGTTGAGATGTAAAACCCAAGGCCTTGTTAAAATCACCTTTCACCATCAGTTAGTCCCTCAGAATCACTGCCTCCTACCCCTCTGACATGTCTCACTCTCCTGGGTCTTCTCTGGTATCCTCCCTGCACCTACCAGAAAGAAAATTGTGGCCTACCCAAGGAACTCATAATACTTCACACACACCTTGGAGAGCAGTTGGATGTCTCTCTGCTGGATGCCTCCCCTTTCCCCCCTCTTCCTCTTTCTCCTTTTGAAGGTGACCCCATCTAAATGTGTGTGTGTGTGTGTGCTGTGATGAAGAATCAGGGTCTAAATGAGAATAGATGGCTGAGAGTCCCTGGCCTCTGCCCACTGCAAAGCAGACTAAGAGGGAAAGATATTGGAAATCGACACCTTGCCTACCTTAATCCCATGGTCCATTTAGCCAGGGATCTGAACAGCAGGCGAGGCTTCTGCTTCTCAGTTTAAATCATGTTGCAACATGATTTGTTTGTTTTGTTTGTTGTTGCAGATAGGATAGGGTGTGAGCTGTTTGTGATATTGGATTACAGACAGTCATAGCTCCAGGTTTTCATTCTCAGGAGTTTCATTTTTATTCTATTTCACTGACAAGTCTAAATTTCTGTCAGTGTGCGCCCTGATGTCTCTCCTTGTGTTTACTTTTAGTAAATGGAGTGTCGTGGGGAAGCGAGACAGCCCGACAGAAGAGTCACACCTTCACTTGCCGGATGCTGGTCAAGTTTGGCCACACCAATGGCCCCATGGACGACGGGCCAGGAGGACCACGCTATGAGACCATGCAGTGTTTTGCTCTTACCCAGCCCAAAGCCATGATCGAGGAAGGAGAAGGTACACTGGCATAGTCAGACAAATGTACACACTTTTAGTTCTTGATAAGGAGCCAGTGTTGAGGGTGGGCTTTACTATGAAGTGCATTAGGAGACATCAAACTTCTAAACTTAAAATATTTGCATATTTATATATTATGAATTTTAATAATGTTAACATTTTTCTCTTCCCTTTCCATCACTCTGTAGCATTTTTTTAGTTATGTCTCTCAAAAATATAAACAGATGTGGACTATCTATCACTTCTAGGACTATCGGCAGCACTATGACCTGGGACTGTTCATCTTCACTACACACACTTGACACTATACTTCACAAAGACAGGGTTCAGTGAAGATCAGTAAAAACATTACTGACACTCCTTTCCTCTCACCTGCAGACCTTCAATCATGTATGATCTGTGTGGCCCGTCGGGTGACTGCGATGGAGAGAACAGAGAGTTTCAACACTCGGCATGAGCTCTCAGGTGAGGCGCTGCATACCCTAAATGCTAAGTAATAAAACACAGAAGGCCATGATGTTAATCCTCTATCCTTGAACAGGTTTCACTCATCCTTCTTGCATCTCCCTGTTCCCTACCTTCCATTTGCCCCCCTTCTCTCCTCCTTGACAGGTAAATTGATCCAGATCGACCAGAACTCTTTGCGAGCATCAATGCGGCCTGGCTGGGAGGATTTGTTGAGGCGCTGCATTCAGATGTTTCTGCAGCACAGCGATGGGCAGCCATGGTCACACAAACGCCACTACCATGAGGGTGGGTTACAAACAAACACACACATGCCTGGAATCAACTAACGTACTTCAGATGTGGTGAATTTACCTTGTTGAGCACTGTTAAGTCATCAGTGACAGAACTGGAGGCAAAGATGTCACCATATTTAATTAACAGTGTACTCTGTGGCCTATTCAGTCTTTTATCTTACAGTGCAATAGTTAGAGCTATAAATATTCTCTCACTGAAATGATTTGATTTTGATGTGTTTTTGCTACTTACCTTCCTTCACAAAGAGCCTCTGAATCTCAAAGAGATGGTGCTGGTTGAAACACACACCTCTTTCATTAGTGTATCAATACTGATCATTAATAAAAAAAAAGCCAGATTGCTCCAGCATTGATCCTCATCGTAATCACAGACTTAGTTTTAACATAAAGGCAGTGATTGATGATCTTTGTTATCAAGTGTTTAGTGGTGTTAATCTGTCTTTGATCTGTGCAGCCTTTCTGCAGGGTCACGCCGAGACGCCGCTGTACCGTTTCTCTCTGTCCGACGGCACTCCAGTCACAGCACAGACCAAGAGCAAGCTGTACCGTCACCCCATGAGCAACGAGCCACAAGGCTTCATTTCCACTCACCTACTGCAGAGGTCAGAAAAACTGGAAATACACACAATCCATTCACAGCATTTTACTGTATTTACAAAAAAGCATTAGTATGTGAAGCAGCCAAGGCATTCAGGCCACACAAATAGCTGAAGAAGCAGTTAAAGTATCTTTTATACACTGATGCCTGTGAACAGTGAGAAAACTTCACACACGAACTGGTACTTTAGTTGCATTTATACTGAGCAGCCACAGTGTGAGAGCAGTTGATCTGGGAAGTACAGTATTTTCAAGGTTATAGCAATTTTCAAACCTTGGGCTCATTTTCTGTCTCCTTCCACACAGAGAACTAAATGGTTACCGTCCAGGTCAGGGTGGGAGCATGATGCCAAACACTATGAGACAACAGGGCATGGGAGGTCCCAACCCAAATGCCCAAATGAACATGAACCCCAGTGGGGGGATGGGCATGGGCAGCATGAACAGGGGCTTCGGCCTGAATGAGCAGAGCCACATGGGTCACATGGGCCCAATGGTAGGCAGCTCTATGTATGGAGGGAGTGGTGGAGGAGGAAGTGGAGGTGGAGGCATGGGCAACCGCATGATGCAGATGAATCAGATGGGGCCGATGAATCAGGTGGGGCACATGAATCAGATGAGTCAGATGGGTCCCATGAATCACCCAGCTCAAGGCATGCAGCAGCACCCACAGCAGCCCCCATTTCAGAGCAGCGGCGGGTTTGGGCTCAGTGGCATGAACAGTCCTGCAGGAAGCCCCAGAATGGGTGGCCCACAGCAGGGACTCCTGATGTCACCCCGGAACCGAGGGAGCCCAAAGATGGGCTCCAACCAGTTCTCACCAGGAGGTAAGTCGATCAGTGTCCATAAATGCGGCACCAGTATTATTTATAAATTGACTGACAACTTTGATTGGATTAATTTGATTTTATAAGTTGTGTTTCTGTTCCAGGCTTACATTCTCCTCTGAGTGGCATTGCCAGTGGTGGAGGAGGTGGGGGCAGCACGGCCACCTTCTCAAGTAGCTCCCTTAATGCCCTACAAGCCATTAGTGAAGGAGTAGGGAGCTCCCTGCCTTCCACCCTAACATCCCCTACGGCAGCCCACAAGCCAGACAGCTCTCCGAGTGTCCTCTCCTCCTCCTCGTCCTCTCAGCCCAGTCAGCCAGCCAAACCAGGACAAGATGGTTCCAAAAGCCCAGCAGGAAGCTTAGGGGCTGGGCCTGGCGACCATCACCACCAGATGCACCATCACCACCATCATCAACATCCTCAGGCTGAGAGTTCTGGGGACAGACCAGACAGCCAGGCAGCTATAGCAACTAAAGAATCTGGAGAGGGGAGCAATGAGGCGGGAGTGGCGAGCTCTGAACCCTCTCGGAGGATCCCAGATAGTAAGGGGCATAAGAAGTTGCTGCAGTTGCTGACTTCCCCAACTGAGGAGCTGGGACTAGGTGGTAGCGCCGGTCCTCCTCTGCCACCACCACCAACCAGTAGCAGCACTGCTGCAGGCTGTGATAGTAAGGACCCCACTGGGGGAATGACTAGTCCCTCATCCACTGGAGTCTCCTCCTCTTCTTCAGCCACTGTCAATCCAGGCCAGATGACTGGACCAGGGGGAGTGTCAACATCGATATCATCAGCCCACTACACTGGCTCGCTGCAAGAAAAGCACAAGATCCTCCACAAGCTTCTTCAAAATGGCAACACCCCAGATGAAGTAGCTAAAATCACAGCCGAGGCCACAGGGAAGGTGTCACTTGGGAGCCAAGAAGGCGGTGAAGTTGGGACAGGAGGATCAGGGGTTGGGACCGGGCCTGGGTTGATCACAGAGCCCAAGCAGGAGCAGCAAAGCCCCAAGAAGGAGAAGACCCATGCCCTCCTCCACTACCTCCTCAACAAGGATGATTCCAAAGACCCAGTGGATGTCAAGCCCAAACTTGAAGAACTAGAGGGGAAGGGACCTACAGGGGCTGCTGGTGGCCCTCCACGAAACGGCCCCGGATCTGGGCCAGGCCCTGCACTTGAACATCACGAGAACAAGATCAAATCAGAACCACCTGACGATGTAAGATTGCTTCTTTATTAATTAATAACTGAATAAATATAATATTGCAAATAAAATATTGTTAATGACATACAGTGTATATTCAGACATGTTCATTCAAAGGGAACTAAACATGCTGTTTGTTCTTGCCTCTGACTTAACTACCTATGACATGGATGAATGTGTATCTTCATTGTTATTAAGGTAATGACTAATTTGGTTTATGTTAATGTTTAGCTGCACAACCTAGAGTCTATCCTGGGAGATCTGAGGGGTTCGAGCTCTGACTTTTACTCGGATCAGGCTGGAGGTGGAGGAGCTAATGATACAGGAAACAAACCCCAGGGTTGTCTTGACGACAGCTTGCAGGGTAAGTGGTTCAAGGACCAAAAGTTACATGAAATATCAATCTGTTGTATAAACTGTCGTCTTTCTGAGATTTATTTTACTGCAGAAGTAATTTATTTTACAGCTTCTGACAAAACAGTGGTGAAAACCTTAGATTTAAAAGAGCTTTTAACAATAAAAAGTTAGCCATTGGTTGCTAACACTATACTGTGACCACATGCCTGTGGCAGCTTCAGGGGGAAAACATTCAATGCTGCTTAATCGTCGTCAGTGAATAACACTTAGAATTTAATTACTTAGAAAATTCAAAGATTTGTATGCAAATGCTATGCTAGAAGGTAAAAGCTGCTTAAATGTTTTCTACATAAATATTTTATTTAATGCGATGAAAAAAATGCATGTATGTCCTCACTCTCTAAATAAATCGTGATTTATACGGCAACACTGAGGAGGTGAAAGAGTTCAGTAGCATTGTTTAAAAGGCAGTCTGTGGAAAAGTGCACACCGAAATTACTACAAAATTAGCTTCATTGTTTTGTTGTTGGTTACTGTTGTTTTTTATATATTCATTATTTCATGAATTCGTAAGAATAACTCACATCAGATAATATAAAAACTGGAAAATATTAGCTGATATCAATATTTTCAAAGATTTTTTCCTATATTACCCACCTTTAATTTCATGAAACACAGGTATTGTTCTCACATCTCTGTAGAAAAACATGAACAGAGCAGTTAACCAGTTATTGTTTTCTTTTACAGGGAGTCCAGGAATGGGTCCCCGGGGGCCCTTTCAGAGGGCCATGTCCATGGATGGCAAAGCCCCTGATGGGCCTGGAGGAGCAGGTAGACGTTCCATGCTTGTCAAGCAGGAGGACATGATCTGCAGCCCAGACAGCTACCCAGGCAACATGGGTGTGTGTTCGAGTGGCCCAACATTTATTTTCAACATATTTTCTCTCCCCCTTTCTCTGCCTTCCTACTCCCTCACTATTATTAGGGTATGCGTTACCTAGTTTAGGTATTTGACTATACTAGAATTTGTTGTAACTTACTGTATTATCATATACATTTTTAACAGGCTTAGGAAAAGGTCAACATTGAAGACTGAGACTGGGCCACACTACTGTCCTTTAACAATTTGATGATACTGATAACTGCACATCTGGTGTTTATTCATTACCAGGACCAATGAATAGGGGAATGGTTCCCCAGAGGTCCCCCATGGGGGGATCAGGTGACTGGAGCATGTCCCACTCCAGTGCCAGCCCTGTGGGCTCAGCAGGACACCCGCCCATGATGCGACCAGGCATGGAGTACAACAGTGGCAAAAGCATGATGTCAGGACCCATGGTCAACCGCTCCAACAGCATGCCAGGCACCAGGTCTATGCTGCAGCAGCAGCTCATGGATATGGGTATGTCTGTCATACTATATGCCAGATGATGCTTTAGACATTATCATAAGTGCACCTTTGTCAGCATGTGTGTCTAAATGCAGGTGAAAGTGTGAAAATATAGGAAAACCTACATGAGCTAACTGCTAATATTATCATAGTGACAATGCTAACATACTGATGTTTAGCAGGTTCATCATGCTCACATCCAGGTCCACCTTGCATGCTAACATCTGGTGACTAGCACTGAACATTGTAGGCTGATGAGAGTGGCACTGGTTTTATAGACGGACAGTCAGAAGCTACAGAAGACAGTAATGTGTGTAAATTAGAATTAAATATGTGCTGTCTTTGTGCTTTAGGAAGCTCTGCTGACATGGGCATGGGTATGAGCTCCTTCAGCCAGCAGAGCCAGTCCAACCAGTCCCCGTCCTGGCCAGACACTATGATGGGCATGGAGGGCAACAGGTCAGTGCAACATCTCTTACTGTCTGTATTCATGAGGAGGCAGTTTATCCTGGACCTCATGGTGAGCACCTTTGTTTGCGTGGTAGACGGCAATTTGGCAACACCTTGGATGATCTTCTGGTGCCTCCCACCACCAGCGAAGGTCAGAGTGATGAGCGGGCACTCCTGGACCAGCTAGACTCTCTGCTGAATAATACAGATGGTATCGCTCTGGAGGAGATAGACCGAGCTCTGGGAATCCCAGACCTTGTCAGCCAGGTAAGAGCATATTAAAATGATCAAAACAACACCACATCTCTTTGCTTCTCTACATCCCTCTAGAAGTGATGTAGAGGAGAAAAGATCAGACTGCATGTCATGACTCATATGTTCAACTTGGCATTAGATATTTCAGTCATGACTCACTATGTTCAGGCTGTTCTTTCACTGAGGGGAGATAGATGAGCCCAGAGGGATCTGTCTGTGCTGCTTGGAAAAAAGACGATAACAGAGCCAACCAATAGGAAATTAATCAATTAGATGGGAAAGTTTGACAAGCTTCACATTTTGTCCTCTTGTCCTATCTGCTCCAGACCCAGGGTACAGAGCAGCAGCTGGAGCCTTTTCCAGGACAGGACCCATCTATGGTGCTTGACCAGAAGCCTCTCTATGGACAGGGCTATCCCGGACCACCTACCATGCCGATGCAGTCTGGCTATGGAGTGAACCCCATGCAGGGTCAGGCCCAGCAGGGTGGGTTTGGGCCCATGCTCTCACAAATGGGCCAAGGTGGCAGTTTCCCTGGTATGGGTGGAATGGGGGGCATGGGGCACCCTCGTGCCAACATGATGAGACCCAGAATGATAAGTGCCAACAAGCCCATGAGGCTCCAGCTGCAACAGAGGCTGCAGGGACAGCAGGTATGAATACAGGAGAGTCATAGATTCATCAGTTTACATGAATACACTGAGTGGGTGTCCCAGAAACACCTGTCTGTGTAATGCAATATAGTTTCAGCTGCAGCACAAACTACATCCTCCCACCTAATTTTCCAGAATGATCATACAGCTGAATCGTGACCTTTCTGAATTAGTTTCAACAAAAATTGAGCATTATCATCTATATGAAAGGAAGATTTATTGCAGGACTGTTTTATTGTACTGTATTGTTGCTGTCAACTGCAATTATTTTAGCTAGGCCTGCCTAATAAAGTGGCAACTGAGTGTATGAATAATTTATCTTTAAATACACATTATAGAAATGGGACTGTGTCAGAGTAACCTTTGCTTTATTTTATTTATTTATTTATTTTGTCTTCATTCAGTTCATGAATCAGGCACGGCAGGGCATGGCCATGAAGATGGAGAACCCAGGTGGAAACCCTGGCATGAGACCCGGCATGCAGCCTGGCATGGGAGGACAGGTGAATGACAAAAACTTCTTGGCTATCTAAGAGTCAGTCACCGATTGTAATATGAAATTAAATGTCACACCTCTAATATTATCATCATACATACACCACATCCTGTGGTGCAGGAAATGCATCATCTGCAGAGCCTGGCTATTTAGCAGTCGTATGTCAGGTCCTGAGAGATTTTAGATCCCAGAAATCTAAAGGTTTCCATGTGCAACACATTTCTATTCCTTTGTACTTGTATGATTTTTAAACTGTATAAAGGTTTTTGGACATGTTATTTGCCTTCAATTAATTATAGAGTGTCAAAAGACAAAGGTATAGTTAAAGGAACATAGTTACTTCCTCAAGTCTTACATTGTTCTTTATTTATTTGATCTTAAAATAAAAACCTTTATCTTTTCATCCCATTTTAACATGATATATTCTATAATATATTTTAAAAAACTGTCACATGTAAACACTCAAACTCTGATTGCTTTGTTTATTTTGTGCAGCTGGGCTTCCTCAATGCTCAGATGATGGCTCAGCGCAGCAGGGAGATGGTCACCATGCAGATGCGGAGGCAGCGCATGATGATGCTGATGCAGCAGCAACAGCAGCAGCAGCAGCGTCACAGCTCCCGGAGGCATGGACAACCCCATGGGAGGGCCAAACATGGGCCAGCCAGGCCCCCAGCAGTTTGGCTACAGTGGAAACTATGGTGAGTTTCCTTAGCCAGGCACCCAACGGAATCCTGCTGCTCCCTGGTGGTGAGTCCTGTCACTGCAGGGTTAATATCATAAAGATGATTTATGTCAAAAATAAAGTCAGACAGCTGTTTATGTACATCTCCCTTGTCTTTGTTTTTTATAATCACGTCAAATATTGCTACACATACACACACAGCATGGCTACATTGTCATCATCTATCTTAATCGATCAGAAGTGTTAATTTTCTGTGGGAAGAGGAGTGAGCTGAGGCTGGATGATTTATCTCCACAGGTATGGGACAGCAAGGAGACCCCACGTTTGGCCCATCAGGTGGCAGTCCTCCTAATGCCATGATGCCAAGTCGCCTGGGGCCTCAAAACCCCATGATGCAACAGCACCCGCAGGGTGGTCCCATGTACCAGGGTGCAGATATGAAAGGCTGGTCACAAGGAGCCATGGGACGCAGCAGGTATGATACCAAACACATTTACTAGCTGTCAGGGGAGGAGAAAGATTGAAAGAGTTTGGCTTGAAGTTTCTCTCTTTGTGAATAGGTTTAAAACATTTTAACACTTCCTGTCACTTTCCATCACCAGTTCGTACCCTCAGCAGCAGTTTGGGCAGCAGGGACCTCCAGGACAACAGCAGTTTGGGCAGCAGGGCAATCCAGGGCAGTATGGCAGCATGATGATGAATGGGGGCATGCCAGCCAGCGGAGGAGGAGGCCACATGGGTCAGATGGGAGCACAGATGGGTATGAACCCAATGGTGATGGGACGCATGCCTATGGGGCCTGATCAGGTATGTACCAAGCGTTGAAGAGTCTGAAGGAGGACAGGTTCAAGTTTTTTTTTAAAGAATATCTTTAAACAATACTGGTGTGACTGTGTACAATGAAAGGGTTGTTGTTTACTGGAATTTCTTCTTTGACTGTAATTTCTTTTTTTTCAGTGTATGAGATGATGAGAACAAAATGACTTTGAGCTTAGCTAAACTGACACTCCTGCAGTACCAGATTTCTGCTTTGTATCACCATCCCTCTGCTGCAGCTCAGAAAGCAAACAGAACAGGTTTCCATCCACCTGTTTTAATGCAGATTTTTGCATTAAAACAAATTAAACTGCATAAAAAGTGAGTGGAAAACCTAAAATCTAAAAGCTGGCGTATTGATAACAGACAGATGTGGTGAATAAACCGTGGAACTTGTCCACAGAGTTTTTTTCTCCATGAAGAGATGAAAACTAATGGCAGAAAAAGCATCAAATGTGTGGACTGATGAGACTGTGATAGGGGAGACAAACTTAAAAACAGCATTTTACATGTTTCCTACATTGTTTTCCAACATCTGAAGTTTGCCTGTTCTTTTAATTATCTTGTCCTCCTCAGCAATGCTTTAATGGCACCCGACTGGAGAATTAGCGCCTCCAGCTGTTTATCTTGATAAACCAACTCCTAATATTTGCATAACTGTCGATGACATTTCTGGAAACTCAGTTAAAATGTGCATGTTGTATGGATGGAAAACTGTATACTGTCTGTGGAAAAACAATAAGTCGTGTTGCATTAAAAAGACTAACTGAACGATGTCCACGTCGTCTAATGGAGACTGCTAGAGGCTCATATTCAGATTAGCTTTAGAGTTCATTTTTGCATAGAACCAGGACTGCTTTATGTGCATCCTCACCTGTTTTTTCTTGTTTCCTCCCTTTTCATCTAGAAATACTGCTGAACACCATGACAGGCATTTGTGTAACTGTGATCTCCGTCGCAGACAGGACACAGCTGCAGTACTGGTGTGTGTCTGTGTGCAGTGCTACACTCCCACCACACGGGGGAGTGAACTTCCTTTGGACTCACAGCCAGTGACTGTAATCTGGCAACCTGAGAAAAACACACAGTCACATCACAAACATACATGAAAACATACAGCGTTCATGAAAATCTGAAACACTGTGACTTACACGCATACAGACAGACAGTTCTGTGATTCCTCTTGTAGACTATAGTTCAATATTCCTGTATGAGCAGTGTGTCTGTCTCAGTAAACACACGCCACTCACTGGACCGAACAATGAAGGTGGACAGTGAGCAGTTCACAGAGCTGGATAAACACATAAAGACACCTTCTCCTTTGTCGAATGTACGATGACACTGTGTTCAGATTTAAAATGTGGGATTCCTCTGTTGCCTCTGATCTTTTTGGGACTTTTTCCGCCGTCTCTCTCTGCTGCTCCTGGAGGATCTCTCTGCGATGTAAAGTAAACACGGTTCTAGACGACAAGCCATCAGATTGTGACACTCAAGTGAATGTCATGAAGCAGTAGCACATTGTTTCAACCTCCAGGACGCCGCTAGGCTAAAGTATGACTGAATTACTTGTTGGCCGATTGCACTTTAAGAAAAGGCCAACATCAAAAGGACTGTGGCAATATAGAGGCCTTTAACCAAGACGTAATGCATAGCAGCAGACATTTACTGCATGTGTGTGTTCTTGTACTTGCTCTATAGTGAGGACCAAAAAAGTATTTTTTGCTACAGAGTGAGGACATTTTGGCTGGTCCTCACTTTCTGAAACACCTTTTTGAGGGTTAAGACTTTTAGGGTTCAGGTTAGGTTTAGAGTAAAGGGTTAGGCATTTAGTTCTGATGGTTAACGTTAGGGTAAGGAGCTAGGGAATGCATTATGTCAGTGAGTGCCCTCACAAAGATAGAAGTATGTGTGTGTGTGTGTGTGTGTGTGTGTTCTTCAAGTTTTCCTCTCTCTGTTGGTTGGAAATGGGTAACCTTGATGATCCTTGTTCTGAAGTGGGAGCCAGTAGAACGGCAGTAAGCACAAATTTTATTCTCTTATTACAACAACAAGAAAACAGTTAAGTAATTTTAAAATTACTCTTCAAACAAACTACTGATTTTCCAAACTCCACTTGTATTTATGCAAATTCATGGGGTGGTTATTTTATAATTACAGAGGTAATTCTTAAATCCAAATGTTGCAGATATTTTGCTTACCTTGCACAAATTGTGTTACTACAAGTGCAGACAATTAAATTGGTCGACGATGATAAAAGTGATGTATGTGTTCGCTCACACTAAGAGGAAGTGTTAGACATCAGTGTACGTGTGCAGATTTCTAGCAATAATCCTTCCTCCTGGTTTTCCTCTTAGGACGAAGCTGAAGCGTCACGTTACTCCGAGCAGTGGTTCTGCAGACTTAGACCTGATGTCTTGTTTGGAGGCTTTTCCATTTGTCTGTGAATATGAATTGTAAATATGCTTTAAATGTACTATATATAAATATATATATGCTTTTGTAGGTCTCATACTGTTTTTGCACAGATTGTAAGGCTTGATATTTAAAAGTGTAATTTTCTTATTCCGTCATAGGTCAGCTTTTATTTTCAGTACTTTAAGCATCAGTTGGGAAGAAAGGGCCTCTTTTGTGTAGATTTTCTTTCATACATTTTATTTCTTTCAGAAGGCACTTTTTTTGATTTGTATCAATCTTAGTCAAAGCTGAGGAGGTGCTAGTGAGTAAAGTTGTTTAAATTATTTTTCTTTTGATGAAAAAAACAAAACATGCCTATAAAGAGGAGTTGACGTGTGATTGTGTTCAGGGCCCAGATGTCTTACCAGTGTGTAGGGCTGATATTTTCTGAACAGGACCTCATGATTCCTTGTGGAACTTTAGGTTTCACTCTCGAGATTTCTGCGCTTTGAATTTTGGTGAGTCAATCCTTCAGCCTCAGATACGAGACTCTGGACATCAGCCCCATATTATAACTGTCCATATGTCATTTGTTTGTTCACACACATTTAGTCCTGAGGGAAGCAATGCAAGGACTCTAAATCCCCGGTCTCTTGACAAGTAATTTTCTGTTTCTGCCATTTGAGTTTGCCTTTATGTTTGTTGTATTTCTTGTGACGTTTTTGTTGAAAAATCTACCTATGAGCACATGCTCAATCCAAAGATTTTTGTTTGTCATTCTGCGGTGCATAGAAAACAGTTCCTGATGTAGATTGTGCAAGTACTCGTGTGCTTTTACTGTTGCACAGAACTTATAATATACATTGAACTAAATATGTTTAATTGCATATTCTATATCCCCATCCATATGACATAGAGTAGAGATGAGTCTGGTTCTGCTAAGGTGGTCTGAGGTTTTGTTTTTGTGATTGTCTCTTCCTTTTTGTAAAACTTAAAGC